AATTTTTCATCTATTTTCTATATTTTATGACTATTTAAAGATTACTTTGATTTTATGAAGCTTTTATAAATAATGTTTTAGGCTTTTACAAAATTATATATTATTATTGGAATTATAGCTTTGTTGAATTACGAGCTAAAGCTTTATTAAATTAGTGAATTATTAAAGCTATTATAGCTTTATTGAATTATAATTATATAACTTTATTGAATTTAGAGCATTAAGGCCTTGGTTTTACAACGATATGTTATTCGCATTGTCGTCAGCAGGAAGAAAGCAAAAGAAACTCTTGAAAATATTGCACGGATTTACGGAAAAAGTGTGTAATAAAACAAATTAATACTTCAAATTAATACTTAAATTATATTCTTCATACTTCATTTATATATAAAATTATATTGTTATTAATACAAAGATTCTAAAAAATTAAATATTGTATGTAGATTATCGCGGAAAGAAAGCTTTATCACCAACTTACTAACCATCAGTATTTAAAAAATCTGGAAAGTAATGAAGAAACAGAAGATGTCGAAAGATTTGGAAGTACGTAAGAGATCAGAGTTTTTAATTTAAGTTTGACAGTGCAATCAATATTATAAATTATGCTTGTACCATTTATATTAAACACATATTCACTCGTAGTGGTTTGCTGCAAAATTGAAACATTATTATAATATTTATAATATTATTATATTTATAATAGAATTTAAATTTTAAACAAGAATTATATTATAAAATTAACGCAATATGCAACAGTGAAATTGTTACTAATATGCTTGATTTCTAGTTAAAAAAAAGCGACTAGCTATGTTGGATCTTTTAATAGCGGCATCTCGAGAAAATTCTTTAACTGATTTGGACATCAGAGAAGAAGTCGATACTTTTATGTTTGAGGTATCTATTATTTTTTTAATTTTTTGTATACATCATAATCATATATATCGATATCTATTAATTTTTTGTATACATCTCTCTCAAGCATATATAACGATATGACGATATGATGATGATTACAGGCTCATGATACTACATCGATGGCTATAATATTTACTTTATTACTATTAGCTGAACATAAAGATATTCAGGTACTTATTTCTCATTATATTGCGATTTATTATTTAAATTTACGACTCTTTTTCTTAATAGTATGGACGCCAAATTTTTGGTGCAATACATTTTATATATACAGGGTGTTCTAAAAAGGTATATCAAAAATTTAAGGAGATATTCCTCACACCTAAAAAATGAAAAAATGTTATATGGACATAAATGCGGAAAACATTTCCTGAATACAAGCAGTGACACATCGACGCAACGATTCAGGGATACGTTCAAAAATGCCTGATGTACAGCGGATTATCTCGCAACCTGCAGTGATATGGTCACGAAGATCTTGAATATCACGCACTGGTGTACTATGTACAATTGTCTTTAAATGTCCCCACAAATAAAAGTCTATCTGATTGAGATCCGATCACTGCTTGTAAGTATTTGTTGCTTTAGGAAAATGGTGAACATTTTCAACATTTATTGTAACATACTCAAGGTCACATTTAAACCAAATGTAAATAAGCCTAATTAAACGATTGTCGTCTACAATAATTAATCCTAAATTTTTCCTTGTGTAAGTAATACAGCTAATAGTATTTTCAACATAACTCTTGAAATAATCATTTCCGCACCTATGTCCATATAACATTTTTTCATTCTTCAGGTGAGGAATATCTCCTTAAATTTTAGACATATCTTTTTAGAACACCCTGTATATGTTACGGGCAAAGTCCGCAAGGTGTCGACATTGTGAGTATTGCATAACGTTTTTAGGCAAAGCCCGCTGAAATGGTTTATTAACTGATATGATCCGGATGTAGGCAAAGTCGACACTGCCTATTCAGCGATAGCAATGTCAATAACTACTATTATATTGCGAACTTTGTCTAGTTCCAAGTGGGCAAAATCGACATTGCTAATTTTTCATGGGTGAAGCTGCGCGTCCGTATTGTGTAGTCCTGATTTCTCAATAAAACATAAAATGAAAATTCAACATAAGGTACAAAATTAATACTTATCTACACATTCGCTTAGCGCATGAAAACAGCAATTAATTAATTTTAATTTGCGACTGATTAAAATATAAAATTTTAATGTTTAGTTTTGACGAGCAATAATATCCTTAAATAACATACTTTATTTAACTGTACCTAATATTTACCTAGTATATATTTATTTTATGTAACTTATGTAATTTATTTTATGTAATACCTAAGTATAACGATTATTTTCATATGCTAAACGAATATGTAGAAGAATATGAATGTTATGTTGAATTTTTATTTTATGTTAATTTTATATTAATATATACGTTATATTTTTGTTTTAGTCTGCGACTGATTAAAAATTAAGGTCATGTAATAATTAGGAATATTTGTGCTTTATCATTTATATTCAAATAAATATTTTTATATTTGTACCTAATCAATCTATTAAATCATCACTTAACAATTGAGAAATCAGGACTACACAATACGGAGATACTAGCGTAACTTCGCCGATGAAGAATTAGCAATGTCGACTTTACCCTCTTGGAATATTCGCAATATAATAGTGATTATTGACATTGCTATAGCGACCAAATAGGCAGCGTCGACTTTGCCTACATCAAACCGTGCTATGTCAGTTAATAAACCATTTCAGCGGGCTTTGCCTAGGAACATTACGCAATACTGACATCGCCCGAGCAATGTCGGCTCTGCACACCTTGTGGACTTCGCCCGTAACACACACACACACACACACACACACACATGTATATATTAATATATATATTTTTAAAGAATTAAAACAGTTGTAAAATAAATATATACAATTGATTTTAATTTCTTAAAAATTTATTTGTCTGCGCACGCATCGAAATCATAATAATTAGAAAAATATTTTAATTATTATCAATAATACAGGAGCGTGTGAGGTTTGAGGTTGATAATGTGATGCAAGAGAACGGAGAAAAACTTAATATGAGAGCCCTGCAAAATTTATCATATTTAGAAAGATGTATAAAAGAAGCTCTACGTTTGTATCCCAGCGTGTTTCTGATGTCACGACATCTTGCAGAGGATATAAAATTGAGTAATTAATTATTAGATTTTTATATATATTATATATATTGTATATATTTTTCAATGTGTTACATCACGAAGTATATATCATCGTATGTAAAATAAGATTAACACATAAAATACACGTAAAATAAGATTACACATTAGTATTTTAAGAATACAATATTATATTATATGTTATTTTCCTCAAATAACTCTTATTTTCGTACATTTTAGAATCTTTTAATTTTATAATAAAGAAGAAAAATCCTTTTCAGAATCATGTGTCATACCGAAAGGGGCGATCTTAATTCTTAATATCCTCGGAGCTCACAAAGATCCTAAGTTTTGGCCAAATCCAGAAGTATTTGATCCGGATAGATTCTTGCCTGAGAAGATACAGAATCGTCATCCTTATTCCTACATACCTTTCAGCGCAGGGCCGAGGAATTGTATAGGTAAATTAACTATAATTTTGTTTGTCCTCGCTTGTCGATCACTTTTAACAAATTTCGCATTGTAGGTCAACGGTTCGCTTTCCTAAAAATGAAAGCTATGATTGCTCCTTTAGTGAACAATTTTTATTTGGAGCCCGTTGAGTATTTAAAGAATATCCGCTTGAAAGCAGATATAATAATTCGTCCTTCTCGTCCGGTTCATATAAAATTCATTCCAATCAAACAATCGTTTGAAACTATGTGTTAACATATCGACACAGTACAATTATAATTTGAGGGACTATTGGAATCAATGTGCTTGTCAGATCTCCGCGAGATATAATTTAACGTCATTTACGCCGAGGATGAGAAAATTTTTATAATTTAAAGCGTCATAATAATTTTTAATATATATTGTTAATATCGCACTAATAAAGGATAAAAAAATGATCCACGTTTGTTTTTATTAATGTAATTATTTTTATTTTGAAATAAACAAGTAATCAGAAAGAAGAAAGTGCTGTTTCTTCTCTGCGCTCCAACTACCGCACTGCAAATGAATATTATTGATACTAATGCACTTGAAATGTATATAAGACAAGAAACAGAATTTGTTAGAATTAGACAGAATTAGACAGAAGCTATACAAATCGAGATTTTATTGCTCCTCTGTATTAACCTTACATTGCATCGAATTCTTATATAAGTAAAAATAAATAAATGTAACTCTTCCAAAATAAGTAAAAGTATACAATATAAAGCAAAAGTATATGATATAAATATAAAGAGGAAAAGAGAGAGAGAGAGAGAGAGAGAGAGAGAGAGAGAGAGAAAGAAAGAGATGAAATATCTTACAAAAAACCTGGCACAAGTATTCTTCTGGGATTTTGATAACTTTGGATATGTTACCTGAATTCAATTAAGAGAGATGTGTATTTTTTTATTTATTTTCTTACATTAAAATTATTTTCGTACAATGAAATGTTTCATTAAAGAAAATTAACTTTTACAACTTCAAATCTGATCAAACTCGAAAGCAGTCACACTTGTGTTGTATTTCTTATAAGTATAATTTCTCTCGAAATATAATACGTGATAAGAAAACAATAAGAGCAGTTATTAAAATGGAATTCAAGAATAGCAATCAGCATTCGTTAACTTTGTAAGAGATAATTCGAAGCAATAAATTACTAAATGATTATAAGTAATTTATCGCCTATTGCATATGTCTCTCTTTCTCTTTGTCTTTTATTTATTAATTTATTGAATTCATGAAGCATTAGAAGATATGAAAATTGATAAAATATAAATTGTTTTCCTTATGTTGTTCATATCGATGTTGATATCTCAAATTCGAAAAAGATTCATTTTAAATGGAAGCAGTCGTTATTTTAAATGCTTTCAGGTCTGATTTTTAAATAGTTCCATAATCATTTCTACATTTTCAGATAAATGTAAATAAAAAGATGTCATTTATTCTTTAATAAAAATGAGATTGTTCAACTGTGTGCTTTTTAAGATATAGAAGCTTATTAAAACGCGCTCTTGAATTGAACGAATAAACATAAACCTCAGATTATTATTATCAGTCTGCGCAGATTTGTTGTACTGGCTTGTATATTTCCTTCACGAATTTGCAATTCCACTTTAATCATTTGAGTTGTGTTTCGATTGATCGTCGCATCATATAGAGTTCATCAGGTAATCTTTATAAAATTGTTATAATATATATAATATTGTAAAATAAAATTTTATAACATTCTATTTTAAAATCTCAATGTTGAATACCATAATTAATATGTGATTTTAACATAAATTTTTTCAAATAAAAGTTGTTAATTTTGTTTCAGATGTTAAAATTTTATTAAATTATTATATTATAATATTTCTTATTATTTCATTAAATGTATATAAGTATAGTATATAAGTATAGTACATTATAGTATATTAATATATGTATATTATAATGTATTATAATATATGTATATGTATAGTGCATTAATTTTGCGGAGATGTTTTAGATGTAAATCATTGAGATTGTTTTAATGCAAGAATTAGGTATACAAAATCAATACACGATAATAAATAAAAAAACAAATAAACACGTTTAAGCAATCGCGATAATTATACAAATTATATATCATATGAAACATTACAATAGAATAATAATTTTAATAAAATATCGAAAACATTTTCACAAAATAATTCCTTACTTATGACAGAATTTGCAAATACTTGATTAAATAATTTCGGTTTATTACAAATTAACTCTATCATTGCACAACAATAAGAGTATATTTATTGATTAAAGATACAAATTTGCGCGGAAATGAATCGAACATTATAATTAAGAACATTTTTTTACAGTTATAGAGTAATTAAAATTATAGCAATACTGAAAATAATTTATATTAAACGTTTGATATAATAAATATAAGAATAACATTCGCCTTAATTATAACATTATTAATAAATTTAAGATTTTAAAGAATCTCATCAAATTTTATCCTATACAATAAATAGAGAAACAATTGCAAACAATGCCTGATTAAAAAGTTTTGTATTTGATTGACACATTCAGTACAAACAATTTACACAAACAATTTTCCACTTTTTCCATTGAACAAATTTATCATATTTCTTGATAGTTCGTTAATATTATTAACAACCAAAAATATATGATCAATGTATTACAATAATCGTCGTCTCATTCTCTCGATCACTATCTTTCTCCATTTAAGATTAATATTAGGGTATCAAGATAATTGTCAATTTTATTTTAAAAATATCATTTATTTTGTGACAGGTGGGAAGAATAAAAAAACAATAAACGGAAGAAGCTTAAGTTTAATTAGACGTCAAGAACATTAGAACAGTTAAGAAACCATGTTTGTTACTATATTAGTATTATCTATATTTATTTTATTGATATATAATTATTACGTGCATTATGGGAGAAACGGACGACTCCTTAATCTTATACCAGGACCATTGGGACTTCCGATTGTTGGCAATTTGTTTCAATACTATGTGTCAGCAGGTAAATACAAAATTTCTAATATATTTATATTAATTGATCTATCATTTACACAAGTGAACACAAGTGAAAATTCATGAATCATTTATTCTAGAACATATATTTATCAAAATTATTACATATAGATTACTTATCTAGGCACTTCTTTTTGCAATAACCTTTAGCAATCTATTTTCTTTATTATCACTTATTTGTTTGCAACGTATTTGAATAAAGATACTAATATTTAAAATAACCCCACCAAAATTTTTGTATATTGATTGTGTATTTATAATATAATTTTCAGAGGAGCAGTGGAAAATCTTTTGTACATTACCTAATGAATATTATCCCATTTTTAAAATTTGGGGTTTCTTCACATTTATTGTATGTATCCGCCATCCAGATGATTTGGAGGTAATAAAAGAAATTCATTTCTCTATAAACAATATAATTTAAATAAATTTAAAAATCTTGCGATTCACAAGAAGATAATTGCTCATAAAATGTATTTAAAAAAATGAAAAAACAAAGCAATACTCCATCAAGATTAGATCAAAATATGAAGATGCAATTAATAAATTATTTGTATACCTAAAATTAAATAATAAACAGAGTATATATCTTTTTTTATTTCCGGTGATTTCAGACAATACTAAGCAATATTAAGCACATCGAGAAAGGTCGTTTGTATAACGTATTACATCCTTGGTTAAACACAGGTCTTCTCACTAGCACAGGTAATAACATGATGACGTTAATATGTAAGTATACATATACATTTCTATTACAATTTGTGGACGGTCTGTTTTCACAAAAAATAAAAAAAAATCAAATAAAATGTTACAATTAGACTTGAAAATTATCTTAAACGGTGAATTTATACAATTTCTTTATCGTATAAACTAGTAGATTTAAAAGAAATTTGCAAATGTGATTATGTTGAGATATAATATAATTCCTTTCAGCGTAAAAATTCTATGAAAGAAAGGTTTAAAAGATTTTAGAATAATTTTTGCGATAAGAATAATGTTATTTAAAGATTGGTCAATAAACATAAGAGAGATAGTAATCTTATTTGTATAATATTATTTGTATTTTATCATCTTGTCGTTATAGGAGTTAAATGGCAAACGCGGCGAAAGATATTAACACCTACGCTCCATTTTAATATATTAAATCAATTTGTTGATATCTTGATCAAAGAGGGCGAGTGCATGACAAAATCTTTGAATGGTGTCGAAGGGACAGTTGTAAAGGATTTATTATCATTTGTTAGTGAGCACACGCTAAACGCAATATGCGGTAAGGCTTCTGTAAAATTCTTATTATATATTACGTACAGTAATTTCATTTTGAATGATTATTTTTTAAAATAGAAAATAACTTGTTCCTATACAATGCATCGACAAAATGAAGAGAGATAATATCCGGTATTTTATATTAAAAGTTACTCATCAAATCTTCAGTTCTAATAATCTTTGATCTATTATTTTTGTCGTACATAATAAATGCATTTATAGAAACTATCATGGGTGTTTCTCTACAAACATTGGGTGAAATCCAGCAACAGTATCGAAATGCGATTCATGACATAATCGAACTAATAGTTTATAGGTAATAGTAATTTTTATGAATATAATAAAAGTAATTATGTAATATATACATATATGATTCTTTAAATTATGATTGTGATATATTCATACATTTTGAAAAATAGATTAATTAATAAATAATCATGTAAATGTAGACAGTAGTGTTATTCGTTTACAAATAATTTGAAATAAAAATGTATTGTACGTGTACTTCACTAAACATTTTATCACAAAATTTTTTGTAATCTTTAAAATGTTGAAAATATTTAAATTTGAAAAAATTAAAAGAAAAATGAATTATGTGCAAAATTTATAAAAAAAATTATCTTTGATCACAGAATCTATAACTAAAATAAAAATACAATATTTTTTAAGATTTTATTTTTTACGTAACATGGTTTTAAATTTTTTATACATCTTTACAATCTGTAATTATTCAAATATTATTTTATAATTTCATGACAGCTCTTAATAAGACTTTTATAAAATAAGTAGCAATCATAATCAATGTAATTATATAACTTTATTGAATTTCGACTTAGAGGATTAAGGCCTTGGTTGTACAACGATTTATTATTCTCATTGTCACCACAAGCAAGAAAACAAAAGAAAATCTTGAAAATATTGCATGGATCAACGGAAACAGTACGTTATTATTCATTATTTTAAATCTTAATTATAACTTAATTATAACACTTTTATGTAAAATAACAATATATCTTGTAATCTTTGTAAGATATATTAAATTATTAAGATTATTAAGATTTATTTTATTTATTTATGATTATATTTGATAATAAATATTAATAATGCTTTAATATCTATGATATAGTACAATGCATCATTGCTGTTTGCAAAAAAAATCATTTTAAAAATTAAATATTGTACTCGTATAGATCATCACGGAAAGAAAACTTTATCACGAACGCACTAATGATCGATACTTAAAAAACCTTGAAGGTAACAAAGAGATAGAAGAAATGGTTGGAAGTACGTAAGAAATCAAAGCTTCTAATTTAAGTTTGGCTGTGCATTCAAACATTATAAATTATGTTAAATTGTACTAATTTATATTAAACATATAATCACACATAATGGTACAACATGTGTTTGCTGCAAAATTAAATCATTATTATTTGTAATAGAGTTTGAATTTTAAACAAGAACAATATTATATAATTAAAGCGCAACATGCAAAACTAATGCCTTTTTTTCTAGTTAAAAAGAAACGGCTAGCCATGCTAGACCTTTTAATAGCGGCATCTCGAGAAAATTCTTTAACTGATTTGGACATCAGAGAAGAAGTCGACACTTTTATGTTCGGAGTACGTATCTGTTATCTTTTTTTTTAATTTTTTGCATATTTAAACATACATAACGATTAAGATATGCATATGATGATGATTACAGGGTCATGATACTACAGCGGCGAGTATAATGTTTACTTTATTATTGTTAGCTGAGCACAAAGATATACAGGTACCTATTTCTCAATATATTGCGATAATACATATTTTCTCTATATAGTATATATTAATATATATATGTAGGAATTCAAATATCTATAAAATAAATATAAACAATTTATTTTAATATTATAAGAACTTATTTGTATCTGTGCATACACAGAAACCACAATAATTAGATATATTTTAATTATTATCAATGACACAGGAACGTGTGAGGATTGAAGTTGATAATGTGATGCAAGAGAACGAAGGAAAACTTAACATGAGTTTATTGCAAAATTTATCATATTTAGAAAGATGTATAAAAGAAGCGCTACGTTTATATCCTAGCGGGTTTTTAATATCACGAAGCCCTGGGGAAGATGTAAAATTACGTAATTACTTTTCTGCTTTATATCTTTGATCATATTGCATAATACAGATACATTATTATGAATCTAAATAAGATTAATGCATTAATATTTTAATATTTTATTCAAAAAGCTCTTATTTTTGTAAATTTTATTTAATTTTTAATTTTATAATAATATGCTTTGCAGAATCATATGTCGTCCCCGCTGGAACGATCTTATATCTGAATATATACGGAGTTCACAGAGATCCCAATTTTTGGCCAAATCCAGAAGTATTTGATCCGGATAGATTCTTACCCGAAAGGATAAAAAATCGTCATCCTTATTCTTATATACCATTCAGCGCAGGACCGAGAAATTGCATAGGTGAATTGATCGTGTATACCATTTTTTCTTGTGTTGATCGTTTTTAATAGATATCGCATTGTAGGTCAGCGATTCGGTCTCCTGAAAATGAAAGCTCTAATAGCTCCTTTGGTGCATAATTTTTACTTGGAACCTATTGATTATTTAAAAGATATTCGATTAAAATTTGATATGTTAATTCGTGCTTCTCATCCGGTTCATTTAAGATTCCTCCCGATCAAACAACCGTTTAAAACTAATGCGGATACTGCAAGAAGTGATGTACTATAACAAGGTGATGCATTGCAAAAATCGAAGACAATTGTTATGCATTATTATATGTTCAACGTATATTTGTGTGTGAAGAAAATATATTTGTAAACATTATATTATTCATGAAAATATTCACATAAAATAACCTTATAAGTCTGTATATCTAAATATATTATGTAAGAATCTTCTATCATTATTTGCAATCGCAATAAAAATGTATATCTATAAAATATACACATGCAAAGCTAATAAAAATGTTTTCTCTGCGACTTATTCAATAAAGCAATAGAGATGAGAATATATTGCTAACAAAAATTAGCGTAAGTTTAATATATAGGTTGTTATCATATTAATAAAAGATATATATAAAACTTATGATAAATAATCTGAGTAATAGTGTAATATAAGCTAAACATGTTTTTGTATTTTAATTTCTAAGTTATATTACTTTTTCTTATATTAAATATTTAATATATAAACATTCTTTTTTTTAACAGCCTATTCAAATAAAAAAATTGTTAATCTCGTTCATTGCAATTGTGACAGTGGATTTATTGTTATATGATACAACTTTGAAATTAATTTCATTAAATGCAAAATATTATTTATATTATATTTGCTTTGTTGACCTTTGTTTTAAATTAAACACATATTTCAAATGAGATATGTATCGTTTGCAAAGCATGACGATAAATTAAATTCCTTCTTCTCATAAAACTCGCAGGAAAAAGATATATCGCATAGATTTATATTTACATTATATATATATATATATATATATATATATATATATACATATATATACACACACACATATATGATTATTATACCATTTTTTTTCTACAAGTTTCGAATTGAAAGTACTGCCTCGCGTAAATAAATTAAATCGAGGAGACACATTAATTTTATCGTGCGATACATGATTACACGAGCATTAAAAAACGTGACCTCAAAAAATGTCGCAGTATCATTGGGAGTCGCACATGAATGTTGTTACAAGGAAAATAAACTAAAACGCATATAAGTTATCTCAATAATGCCCTTCGACCATGATTCTTCTTTTTCTCTCTTTATTGTCTCTTTACTTCAAGCGATTAATCCTTATTGCATTAATCAGAAATGAGTACGATGTTACAAACAACTCCGACTTTACACATAAGATATTTTAGAAACTCGATATTGATTTAAATAATAAAGATAGTAATAAAGATAGTAATTGATTTTGTCTAAAGTTTTCTTGGGAGTGAATTTTATTTATCAAAACTTTTCATATATTTATCGTATATTAGGAATCTCTTAAAATTCTATTTAAAATTACAAATGATTCTGAGGAATTACAACCCAATTAATTTCCACAAACAAAATTTATTTTGTTAATTTTTGTCTAATTAACATTTTCATAAACATTTTTGTTTAATCAAAAAATTTGGAAATTTAATAATTCATAATTTCATAATTTATATTGCTTCGAAATAAATAGCACATGACTGTTCCATAATCATTTTTGTTTTTTCATATAAATACGACAAAAAATATGTCACTTAATCTTTAATCAAAGTAGCATTATTTAATCGTTTGCTTCCTAAGAAAGCTGATTCTTAATACGGCTTTGAATTAAGAGGCTATAAATACAGACCCCAGATTTTTATTATCAGTTTATGTAGAGATTTGCACTTGCTTATATATCTGCTTGACGAGATTTGCAATTTCATTTAAATCATTTAGGTTTCAATTAATCATCGCATCAGGTAATCTTTATAATATTTGCGTAAAATAAAATTTTATAACGTTTTATTGCAAAATTACAATGCTTAATACATTTTTTTTTAAACACCATAAGTTATTATTTTTTAAATACCATAAGATTATTATAATTTTATTGAATTATTATAATATGTTATAATATTTCATATTATTAATTTATTAAATGTTCATTATATTAATTTTGCAGACATGTGATGCAATGATTAGATATACAAAATCGATATTTAGATAAGTAAAAAAAAAATAATTTTCTTTATCGCTTTAAAGCGATAAAGAAAATTATTTTTTTTACTCATCTAAATATCGCTTTAAAGCGATAAGGAAAATTATTTTTGTTTACTTATCTAAATATCGATTTTGTATATCTAATCGCTTTAAAGCGATAAAGAAAATTATACAATTTATTTATTATATGTGTGAACATATTAGGTTAACAATTTTAAAAGAAAGCAGAAAAAAATATACCAAATAATTCTTTGTTTATGACAGAATTTGCAAATTAGATAACTTCGGTTTATTACAAAGTAACCCTTATCATTATATATCAATAAAAATATATATTTATTTTATTTGCATATATTGATTTACTTGCATATTTGTACAGTAATGAACTAAAATTATGCATTATGATATGATCGCTTATGAATTCCTTACATTTCTCTACAGTTAAAGAATAAATAAAATTATAACACTGCTAAAAACAATTTATATTAATTATTTGACATAATAGATGTAAAAATAACACTCGCGCTAATTGTAATACTATTAAATAAAATTGAGATTTTGCAATAGAATTTCACGAAATTTTATATTATACAATAAATAAAGAAACAATTACAAACAATGGATGATTAAACATTTTTTTTATTTGATTGACTGATTTAGTACATAAATAATGTTTCTTCTCTATCATGAAGAAACTTATCATATTTTTTACAGCTCGTTAAAATTATTAACTACAAAAAATACGCTTAATGCAGATTAGAATGATCGTTCTTTCATATTCTCTCTATTTCAGTATCTTTCACGGTTATGATTATTTAGGATATCAAGATAATAATCCATTTTATTGACAATCAAATATCATTTATTTTGTGACATGTGCGATCCAAGATTAAAAAGCAATAAACAAAAAAAAGTTAAACTCAATTAAACGATCAAGAACATCAAAATGGAAGAAATAATGTTCATTACTGTATTGGTATTATTCATACTTATTTTATTGAAATATAATAATTATTACGTGCATTATGAAAGAAATGAACGATTCCTTAATCTTATACCGGGAGCATCGGGCTTTCCAATTATTGGCAATGCACTCCAACGCTATGTGTCAGCAGGTAAATACAAAATTTCTAATATATTTACATTAATTGATCTATCATTTATACAAGTAAAAATTCACGAATCATTTATTCTGAAACATATATTCATCAAAATTATTACATATAGATTACTTATCTAAGCATTTCTCTTTGCTAATAATAATTTGCAATGTATTATTCTTCCCTTTATTATTACTTATTCTTATCTTTATTATTTATTTGTTTTTAAAGTGAATAAAGGTATTTTGAATATAGGTACATCACAATATTGAAAATAAATCCCATACACAATATTGAAAATTAATCGTATAAAAAAATTATCGCCTGTATTGATATTTATAATATAATTTTCAGAGGAACTATGGAAGATACTCTGTATATTACTTAATGAATATTATTCCATTTTTAAATTTGGAGGTCTCTTTCAGCGCGACGTTAACAATATATATTACAGATAGTGACGCGTTACATTAAACGAATTTATTCTCGACACAAAGGTGACGCTAAATTACATCCCGCGGAGGTCTAGTAAGCACTCTGCTTCCAACAGTCAATTAGTAGTCATTAGAACAGTTCGTCATCGAGTCTCGAATAAACATTAGGTACACAGTGGTATACTATATTATTAATTGTAAGAAAGCGCGGAATATGATCTGCTGTGACGTCGCATAGCATATCTATAGTATATTTAATTGACTGTTGGAAGTAGAGTGCTTAAACTTCCGCGGGACCTTTGCGTCGAGAATAAATTCTTTTAATGTAACGCGTCACTATCTGTAATATATATAATTATCGCGCTGTGGAAGGATCAAAAGATGAACCGAAACGTTCCCTTTTTGTTATTATAATATGTTTTTAATAAACTAATATTGAAAAAAGAAAAAAGTGTTGTTGCTTCTCTGCGCTCCAATTATCGCGCGTTGGCTCTTATGCCATTTTCTGTTTGATTTTTTGATTATTTGAGCCAAGTCTCTAATTATTAAATATATAATATATAAATTTTTTCTTTTATTAATATTTTTTCCTATTAACATTCTTTCTTATTAATATTCTTTTATTTAAAAAGTTTTATCTGTTTCTCATATTATACCTGTTTCTCATATTTTATTAGTTTCACATCTATATCCATATTATGTAATCTTATTATATTTTAATATTTCAAAAACGTGTTAAATCAAAAGAAATAAAGTTTTATAGTACTTGTATCTCTTTGTTTATTCTTAATAAAAGCAATTTCTAAAATTGATAACATTATTTTTATAGACAAAAAGTGCAATAAAATATACACTTCAACAACATTCTCTTGCATAATAATTTTTTTGAACAATTTTTTTAACAATTATTTATCGACTATATCTTACGTTATTTCTAACGTCAATCTTTTTTAATGATATAGATAATCTTCTTTTAATGATATCTTTTTAATGATATAGATTAACTGAATCGATTAAATATATAAATGCAAAATTTGTATTTAGCGAACATCTTTGTATTTTTCTGATATTCGACTATCCTTTCGTTGCATTTATAAGATAATTATTATCGATATTAATTATTTCATTTTATTCTGACTGAAACGGGAGTAGGCAATAAACAAATTTGTTAATTATGAACAAAAGTTAATTAATTATAGACAAAAATTATACAAATCGATATTTTATTGTTCTCATTTCTCATTGCATCGACTTCTGACATATTTAACATAGTAAAAGTTAACAATTTGTTAAAGAAAGAAAGAAATGAGGCTTCTCACAAAGAGAGTGACAAATGTCATCCTCTAATTTTTATATAAGATTTGAATATGTTATCTAAATAAAAAAATAAATGTAAGATATGTTTATTATTTATTTATTTTTTTATAGTAATACAAAATCTTTAAAAGAATAAACTTTTACAATATCAAAAAATATCAAAATCGAACGTTATCATACTTGTGTTCCTTATGAATATAATCTCTCTCGAGGTAGAACATGATTTTGAAAACCATAAATACGATAATAAGTACCTTTAAATACTATTAAAATTAAAATATAATGCAAAAAAGTAAAAGTAAAAGTTTTTCCTTATATATCATGTCGATTTTGTATCTCGATTTTAAAAGAGATTCATATTAAACGAAAATTATCGATATTTTAAATCA